TTCGTTCAGAGGCTGTCAGTGTCCGGGAACCGTAGGCGATCACACGGAGTTTACCATCCTGTTGTTGGTATAGGACTGTGCCAAGGCCTTGGTTTGACGCATCTGTATGGAGGACAAATGGCAGTGAGAAGTCAGGGAACCCGAGTACTGGGGGCTCAACCAGACAGTCTATTAGCCGTTCCAGGATGCATTGATGTTCTTCAGTCCACACAATTGGTTTGTGTGACGGCACTCCTTTCTTTTTTTCTGTGACTCGTCTTGTTTTTCTCCTGCTTTCTGTTACATTGTTGTCTTCTGCTGTACCTTTCAACAAGTCATAAAGTGGTCCAGCAATTCGGGAAAAGTTCTGTATGTATTGTCTGTAGTAGCTTAGCAAGCCCATGATAGCTCGAAGCTCTCCCACATTTTTCGGTCTCTTATCTTTCAATGCTCTCACAGCGATGGTGTCAGCTGGATCGATTTTGCTACCTTCGGCAGAAACAACTCTTCCCAGATATCGAACCTCACGCTTGAAAAGACACTTGCTGGGCTTCAATTTGATTCCATATCTTCTCAACAGCTGTAGCACTTTTCTGACATGGTTCACATGGTCCTCAAACGATTGACTGTACACAAGTGTGTCATCCAAATAGGGGATGCAGATGTTGTCTCGCACTTCTTCTAAACACTCTTCCATGCACCGTTGAAAGGCTGCTGGTGCATTCATCAGCCCAAATGGAATTCTTATCCATTCATACAGGCCCCACGGCGTCACAAATGCAGTTAAAGGTCTGCTGTCTTCATCTATAAAACCCTGATGGTAGGCCTTCCCTTGGTCTAACAATGAAAACCAAGTATGACCGCCAAGACTGTCAAGGATGTCCTGCACTCGGGGTATCGGTTGTCTGTCAGGGTGTGTCTTTTTTGTTTAACTCTCTGTAATCTATGCAAAGACGTAAGCTGCCATCTTTTTTTCTTACACAGACAACAGGTGAGGCATATGGTGAGCTGGATTTCTTTACCCATCCTTGTGCAATACGGTTATGTAGATAGTCTTTCATCTCCTTATATAGTGGCTTTGGCACAGACACGTACGTTCGTGCTACAGGATCTGTGTCTGTAAGTGATATGCTCAACTTCAGCTTCTCAATACATCCAATATCATCATCTGACTTCGAAAAAGATGAACATTCCTCACGAAGCATATCTTGCACCATTACTTTCTCGGTTTCACTTAGATGACTCAGGTTAATTGGTGGATTCCATGGAATGTCAGCATCATGTTCACTCTTTGCATTCACTTGATTGACTGACACTGGAGGATGCTGATTTGGTTTCTCTAACACTGTAGTTGGATACACAGCCTGGACTTGCTGCACTCTGCCCACAACAGTTCTTCCTGCCAACTCAATATCGTGATCGGTGGGATTTTGCACATCGAGAATAATGTAAGGTGAAGCACCACTTTTAAGCATCACCAATGTATCACAAAACTCAAGGCCTTCAGCCCACTGAGGATTTATGTCAGGCTCGAAAATGAGGGTAGTGTCTTTCTTCAGTGTCTGTACTTTACAGTCAATTTGAACAGAAGAGTGTTTAGGAACCATGACTTTCCCTTTTGTGGTTTTTACCATATAGTCACATGACTGTTCTGTAGTCACTAGGTCAATGAAGGCTGTGACATTCTTCTTCTCAAGACTGGGAATAGCTGTTGTTAAAGTCTCATGCAACTGCTCTCTTCTTCTAACATCAATTTGTTCTGAAGTGCTGGTTTTCACTATTCGCTCAATGACATTGTAGCCTAGAATAGGCTGTGAGAGAGATCTGCCTTTCACCACTAGCATGGGGACAATAAGTTCTTTGGGATCAGCTCCTTCTGCAGCTAATCCAAAAGTTACCTCAATGTAGCCCTTGTAAGGCATGCTCTCTCCGTTAGCAGCAGTGATATTCAAATTATCCGGTGCATCCAGTAACTCTGAAACATCTCTTAGCTTCTCATGTGGCAAATGTCTCTTTTTCCATTTTTCATCAACAATGCAGACTTGGGAGCCTGTATCCCACAATGCTTTAATTTTACGGTCTTGGATGTAGCACTCAACTATACACAGGGCTGCACATAACTGGTGCGCAGGTGCGCATGCGCACCTCCGCCAAAAAAAGAGCACCGGGTTATTTGAAACAAAGCGCATTTGCGTACCAACATTGAGAGGGAGAGAGATAAGAGAAAAGAGAAAAGAGAAAATAGAGGAGAGAGGAGAGATGAGAGAGAGAGAGAAGAGAGAGAGAGAAAGATATTTGCGAGTTGCATATGAACCATGATATGAACTCAGGGCCTAGGGCGCCAGATCTGGGGAGGTGCTGCGCTTGCAGTTCTGGGAGGGAAAAAAACATTTTGACCGTTGGGGCTCATCCTAATTTTCGGCCTTGATGTAACAATATTCACAATTAAGTAAATGTAACACCCTTTTCACCCTGGTTCCACCTTTAATTTGCCCTGTACGATGGGCGCTGTAAGTGATGAAAATGGGGGATGTAGGCTTATCTGGCGCCCGCAGCTCACAGACAAAATGCGAGTGAGCGAGGGAGGGAGGGTGGTACCAGCGCTGTTGTTATTATAATCTGGTGCCGTGCTAGCTGCTCTAACGGAGATAAGAAGAAGATGTTTCTACAATAATGTGGAGGGAGAGTCCTCTCCAGTCAGACTGAGAGGCTGATAAGTTAACTACAGCTCAGTGAGGTAAAGGACTCTTAGTCTAAGTTCAAACGGTTTGGTCACAATTTATGTAAACACATATTTCCAAGGCACTCCTTTATAATTATTGGGATAAACAGGTTTTAAATCATTCCAATGTATACTATAGGACAGTAACCAAAAATATCCTTTAAAACTGGAGATAAAAAAAAAATGCATAAATAAATAAATGTTAAGGTAAAATAAGATATGAATGAACAACACAAATAAAATAAGTTACATTAATTTGTTATTGGCTATGGTAGGCTATTGGTTATGTTCACATACTTATTTGATTACATCCACTTGTCTAAGATGACAACAGAGACTTTCGACCCAAACCCAGCTGTTGACTTGTGGATGCAAGCAGCTAATCGCAGACTCAAACAGAGAGAAAGTAGTAGGCCTACATCATCAGCTACCATGTCTGACAGAGAGGAAGACAGTGAGGAGAACAGTCAGGAGGGTAGTGATGACAGCTTGTAGGATTACTGGTCGTGCAAATGTTGTCTTGTGTTCACCTCTGCATGTGTGTTCTGTGTGCACCTCTGCATGTGTGTTCAGTGCCGTGTGTCTGGCAAATAAAGTCAAGACCCCCTCAAAAGTTACGGTTTATTTAATTTTAAGGATGAGCACCAAGCAACATCTCCAGGTGCTCCTTTGAGAACCAGGGCAAAAAAGTTATGTGCACCCCTGACTATACACCTTTTTCCTACCAACGCCACAAGACGAGAATGGCTGTCCTCTTTTCTGGTGTGGGCTGTGCTTGCACTTGGTTGAGAGCACTGATTAAGGCGAGACACGGCAGGCAAAAACATCGTTTTTCAAGTTCTGGTCAATTTTGAGATTTTGTGCTATTTTGATTCCATAACATGTTTTCTTTCAGGCTTTTGGAAGGAAAACGTACAAAATACACATTTAAGTGTTTATTTTACTATAGTTTGTCTATTTGCGTCTGTAGATTTCTCCTAAATTCACCAAAAGTTAGCATTCTAACGTAACATAAAGTACCGCGACCGCTGTGTGCACCATGTCAACAGAGGTATCGCTGGAAAGCTCCGTCTCTCCTGCACAATCTCATCGGATCCAAATATGGTCATTTCCTTTGTATCAGCAACCAATCGTGAAAGCACAAAGGGGTCTTAAACCAAGAAACGAAATCTCATTGGCTGGTGTCAATTTCTGACAACGTGATTCGTTCAGATGCGTCACGTGGTGTGCTAAAACACTTCCTGGTTAGCTTTCAGCTAGAAATTGAAATCTCAAAATGCCAAAAGAACGGCGAAAAAAACATTCACAGAGAAGACGACAACAATTGTCACTTGCACGAAGCAAGGATATAAAAAAAAAAAATGACCCTGAACATGAAATACCTTCACGGAGTGCGTCGATGCTGTATCATCCAAAGAACAGGAAGGTTTAGCTAGCGCCTCACTGCTATCTTTAAAGGTCGTTTTCTCAAAATGAGTTTTTTCTCCTACTCTGAGTTCGAAATTTCAACTTCAGTAGCACGTACATACACCAAACCTTCCAGTTATATTCCTATCAATATTATGAAGGCTTTTACAGAAGGGTTTGTTCATATATAATTCATAGCCTGAATTATACAACATTGTATACCTAAAAACATGGCGAAAATGGATATTTTAGGGCTGTTGACAGTATTTTCTGATTTATGGAGTGATAAAAAGAGATATCCAATATCCCTTCAGTAAAAGCCTTAGATACTAATATGACTACAAAATGAAACAAGAATTTTGAATCTGGCTATATCCAAAGTTCAGATTTCGATTCCTGAAATGTGTTAAAATATGTGCATATTTAATGAGATAATGGATAATTTGCATATTTAAACATGCTATTTCAGAAAACTTGTAATACAAAAGACAATTGCCTTATTGTAAGTAATTAACTGGAGAAATTTCTAGCTGATACCTTTAAGTTAAAAAATTACCCTATTCACCTGGGGTGTCTCGCCTTAACATGCGCGTGAGGGGGCTGCTTGCATTTTTCGTAATGTTTTGGCCAATGTTCAGTTTGACAGGTTTTAGAGCAGTAATTGTCTTCTTTACACGATGCACATTTTCTGAATTTCTGTTCGTTTTCAGGGACACCACAGTATGAGCAATGCTGTTGGGACATTACACTGTTGTTGGTTACTCCCTGTCCCGTGGGGGTAACCCTGTTTCGTTTAAAGGGACCTCTCTGTCTGGTCCGTTTCCTCTCAGCCTGCAACCTGCGAGAAAATGTTCACTACTACCACACCTGTAGCAATGGGTGCAATACTCACTTCCATTTTGCTTGCAGCCAAAACGTTTTCTTAAGCGTGCACGACTTGGCCCGGAGAAGTTGTGTTGTGGTGCGAACCCTCTTTGGTATTGAGCTGTCTCTCCTCTCTGCCCTGGTCCTGGGGGTGGCCAGCGGTTTTGCTGTGGATACTGGAACTGAGGAGGGGGGATGCATTCTTGTGGTATAGGTGAGGTGAAATACTGTGGCTGTGCTTGGTTAGGCTGTCGCATTGATTCTCTGATTTGTGCAACTTCAGCGCCTATGTTTTTCAGTAATGCCATATCAGACTGCATTTCTTTCAGTTCATTCAGAACATCAGGCTGAAATCTGCTGTTTTGGTCTAGATTAGTATTTTTTTCCTTTTTCTCTGCAGTTGTCTCGCTGGATTGAGCTGAGTGCACTGCGGTTGGCCGCTGCTGGGTAAGTAGTTTATTTTTATTTTGTCTCTCTGCTTTGTTGGCACAAGCAATGTTAACTTTTTCGAGGAGCAGCTCATCACTTGATGTTGTCTGTTGCAAATACGGCTGAAGATCACTTCTAATGTTGTCATTTTGCAGGCCTGTGAGAACAGTGTGGAAAAACATACTCTGTACGAGGACAGGATCATATCTTAGACCAGATTCTGCCTCCTGTGAAGCGAACAGAATTTTCTGTCTTAAATCCAGAGCACGGATCAGGAAGTTTTGTGGAGTCTCCTTGTTACTTTGGACCTCTGAGGTCAGTTGTTTGTACAGTTCTGTTGCTCCTTTTTCTTGGTAATGGGACCTGAGTATCCTCCTCAAGGTAGGTAAAGTCAGGTTGATTTTTCCCTCCAAGTAGCTGCGTAGTTGTAGGCCTGGTGCTATTGCCCTTATCACTGCATCCACTATTTCTATTTCAGGAAATCCCTTGCTCATGCCTTGCTCAATTTGATGTGCTAGACTAGAGAATGTAAGTTTGTCTTTTTGACCTGGCTCACCAATCTGGCCTGATATTTTGAATTCTCTGCTCCACTGTAATGAGACACGTGGTTGGGGGGTCTGTTAGACAGTCACATTGTCTTGTTTGATAGTATTACCTTCCCCACTCACTAACCTTTGGGCCCCACCGGTCCGGTCTGGTTTTGCCTGTAGTGAAAACGCTAAAGCTGACTGTTTCTCTATCTCTTTAAGCAAACTTTCTCTTTCTGACGGCTGTATGACATGTTCCTGCACCACGTCTGTCTGTTTGTCACCTGAACTCTGCTCTTTTCCTCTGTTATCTTCTCTTAATAAAGCAGCCTGTTGTAACTCAACAATTGTATCTTTTAGAACAAGTAGCTCTGCCATACCCTGATCCTCAAGTTCACTTAGTTCTTCTCTCTCTAAGTGCATTCTAACATGTGAGATGAGAGACGAACGGCTTTTACCTGATACATACTCAAAAGTTGACCCAGCAATAGTTAGGAAATCACACACTTCAATCAAATCATCCCTTGTCAGTGTGTACAGTTTACCACCAACTTCTAGCTTCAAGTCTTCTAGCGCTGAGGAGTCCATTTCAATCTCTTTTCCTGTGGACATTGTCAGTGTAATGTAGAACCTTCACTTTGCAGATGAGACAGCGTAACTCTCCTGGCACCCGTTGACCTCAGATTGTATACAAGTCCCTCTCCGTAGCTATTGAACCACCACACGTCGTCGTCCACCCTAGTTGTAGTGAAGATGGGTTGAATGATGATCGGGGACATCTATCTGGAACAGCTGGCCCTCGTCACATTCGCCCGGGACAAGCCCCCAAATGTTACGCCCCTGATAAAAGGGAAGAATTTTGACAAGAGTCAAAGTTAGGTTTAATTCTCCGGTACTTTACTAGAGTCAGTCAACAAATGCAACACCTTTCAATAGCACATACAACTTGGCTATTAACACTGTATTTCAATCATGAAACTTCTTAATTACAACAATATCATTGAAAAGATTATATAATTGACAACATATTACATATAATTGTGTGCATACACAATACACAAGATGGCGGCAAATGTGTTTGTTCATGTAACCATGTAGACGTTACTACACACATTCTCGGCTATCACACACATCAGCCCAAGCTGATAAAACGTAATAATAACACACTCAATATTTCACACAACCGCTTTAAAACACTCCTTACACATGTTATTATAGTTTGGCCCAATTTGTTATGATTTTGTACTATCTACATACCTGATAAAAGGGAAGAATTTTGACAAGAGTCAAAGTTAGGTTTCATTCTCCGGTACTTTACTCGAGTGAGGAAAGTACCCGCGAAACACCCCAGATATGTGGGCGGAGACAAGAGCAATCGATCTCCGTCTCCCAGATCAAGGCCATCTAGTCGATCACAGTTTAACAGATCACACGTCTCCAAAACAAACACAAACAAGCGCAGACAGAATACCTTCTCATCCTTTCCAAACATCCTACAATTAAACTACATTAACAAAGATCAAAGGTAACAGTTCAAATACTGTCAATGTTACAAAAACAATCTATTACACACACACAAATATATTTATATAAATATATACAATTTAAAGTATGAGAGCACTCTCATAATAACGTAACACAATCAGAGACTGGATATATCCCCCCCTCTCTCTGGTCGCTGAAATGGGGAATTGAAATTACGGGCCAAACGTTGTATTTACAAGTATTAAAAGTAAGCAGAGGACACCAAACCTGTAGGCCAGGGGTGCCCAACCAGTCGATCGCGATCGACCGGTCGATCGCGGGGAGATTCCCAGTCGATCGCGAGATGTGTCTAAAAATAGAACAACAATATTCTGTTTTATCATTAATGTCCTGTAACATAATCTTCCTGTGCCAGAATAATGCACTTGAACGCATCAAAGCTTTGTGATTGGCTGGCGTGAGCCCATGTGTCGGGGCGTGGCTGGTGGGCAGTGGGCAGTGCACTAGTTCGCTAACGTTGTCCGTGTCAACAGGAGTGACAGTCCGCACACACACAAGACCGCAATTATGGCAGAAGCAAAACATATATAATTTTCACTCCGAGTGGGAGGATGATTATTTTTGTATCTATTCCAATTCAAAGTGCATCTGTCTCATCTGCAATACGAGAGTGGCTTTATCGAAGAAGGGTCATTTTGGAGCGGCATTTCAAAACAGTGCACCAACGCTACGAGACGGAATTCCCTCCTAATTCTGCCCTACGCTCCAAAAGGGGAGGGGCCTGAAAGGAGAGCTAAATGCACAGCAGTCCATTTTCACCAGGCCCAACAACAAGAGCAAGGCTGCTACCATAGCATCTTATCGTGTCAGTCACGTTCTTGCGAAACATGAAGTCTTTCAAAGACGGCGAAGTTGTGAAAGAAGCATTCCTGAAGGCTGCCGATGCGTAATAAAAATAACAGAAGCATTTCAACAGGTTTTTGATATGATAAAAACTCAAGTTAGATACCGTTATTAATCAGCTGTAAATTTGAGTTTGTTTGAACTTATTCATTATAATTATTGTACAAAATGGTATAAGAATGCAAACTTAAATTGATTATAGTCTATTATCAATTCAGGTTAAGAAACTAGTGTTGCTTGCATCCTATTTTAAAGCCATTTATTTTTATAATCTACTAAAATGCAACAAAAAAGGGTTTGATTCTATTAATGTTGTCTTTTGTATTGCACTGTTGCAGCAGATTCCTGTGTAGCTTCAGATCTGAGTTGTCTTATTGGTAAGCCTCATTTATACTTTTGTAGCAACACTATTTTTATATAATGGCAAAGAAAGGGTTCAGAGTCTTTTCTTTTTTTCCTGTGTCATATGTGGCAGCACTGTTCAATGTTTCTTGAATACATTACCCACTTATAACAACACTGTTGTGTAACTTCAGTTCAATACTTGTATGTGTGTAGATTAGAAAGAGGTAAGATAAAGGATCTGCAGTGTTTTATGAAGTATTCATCGTACAAAGGTCAGTTTTATACAAGTAGAAGTGTGTATTTACCTGGTAGTAGGCTGTCAGTAATGGCTACGCCTCTCTATTTGGACTGGTAGATCTCGGCAGACTAGCAACTTTAAAAGTAGCTCTCGGTTCAAAAAAGGTTGTGCACCCCTGCTGTAGGCCTACCACCAGGGCCATTGGGAATACCGGGAGTTTCCCCGGTGGGCCGGTGCTGTGCGTGGGCCGGAGGGCCACATTTAAAAAAAAAAAAATGTTCAAATAAAATTCCTTTATTTTTGTTGCCTAAATCCTACCGGCCCACATTTGTAAGTGTTCCGGCCCAGCCCAGCCCAGTGGGGTGTGGGTGGCCCACTGGGCTGGGCTGGGCTGGGCTGGGCCGTTTTGATAGGCTACCTATGTTCTATCAGATAGTTTCACTTTCACACATCAGGCCCTAGCAGCTGTCACTGCGCAGTGAACAATCAGGAGTGAGTGACTGAGAGACCTAGCTTGCAGTTGCTTACAGATGGATAAACAAGCTCCATAGCGTAAAGACGTTTTTGTATAGTTTGTGTATACAGTATACAGTATTGTAGCGAGCCCTGGGTTCAGAGGGAGGGGCTTGCATAGGGGAGGGGAGGGGGGTTTAGGGAAACGGGGTTCAGGGGGAGTGGCTGTATGGCTGTACCAGGGCGGACTGGCCATCTATAGAATCTGGAAAACCACAGAACGGCCGGTGGACAAGGGCCGTTGACGGCCGGCCCTTTAATTTTTTTTGTTTAACGTCATAATTTAAGTTGCGCTTCCGGCCGACAGAGGGCGACAGCGGCCGCTAATGCAGTTGTGTGTTTCTTATCTGTCAAAAAATCACACACGAAGAAGAAAAAAGACCGGCCACACAGACGCCGCGGCAGACAGGGAGAATGACAAAAAATGGATACAAATAAAAGAAAAAGAAAAGAAAAAGGTGGGGCCGAGAAGGCAAGAGAAAAAAAGGTGAAGTCACTCGCAGGTAATGCTAATGAATGTCGCAAATTGACAGACCTTTTTGGCAGCAGCGCCGCTGCTACAACTACAAGCACTATCATCACCAGCAGCAGCTTAGAACAAGTGCATGATGAAGAGAATGATGAGGGCGCGATTTCATATATACAGCCAGCCTCCTGCGTTCATGAGGGACAGAGAGTTGAGCTGGTGGAAGAACCAGCTCAACTGGCACATGCAAGTGCAGGGCAAGAGCAAGAGGTGGTAAGTACTATAGAGAAGACAAGTATATTCAACCAAGTGTTTCCAGTTAGTGTGTGGTGTGTTGCTCATGCAAGCAATAAAATAAATACAACTGAGAGTAGGTGTAATAGACTATATTAAAAAAAAGTATAGATTAAACAAAAGTGTATTACTTGTCAACATTTAAGTATTAATTCAAGTAGTAGCCTATAGTATTATAAAAATAATTAACATTATTTTTATCATTAATTTATAATTGTCTATAGGTTGAGGATGGAACAAGGACTGAGGATGACAGCCACTCACACGGCAGCTCAAGCCTGAGGTATTTCCAACGCCCAAATTCCGACAATCACAGTCTCAATAGTTTTTTTTCCTATCACCCTCAGACCAAAACAAAATATTTGACAGTACAAAGACTGTTTAAACGCATGAACGGCACAGATAGAAAATGGCTCACATACTGTGAAGAGAACCACACATTGTATTGTGGAGTATGTTTAGCATTTGCCAAGCCATCTGAAAACAATCCCTTTGTAAGTGGCATGCAGGACTGGAACCATATCAGTCAGAGAGTAGAGGAACACGAAAGGACCATCATGCATAGAATGTGTGCGGAGGCCTACTTTTTGAGGGCATCCAAATCAGACATAGCCAGCCTACTACATGGATCACAAGTAGTGGCCCACAGAGATCAAGTGAAGAAGAAACGGCAGGTGTTGGAACGTGTGGTAGATGTAGTAAAGTTCATAGGAAAGAGAGGACTTGGCTACAGAGGGAAGGAATATGAGGCAGCATACACTCTAGATGATGACAACATTGACCATGGGAATTTTCTAGAGCTCATCATTCTTCTTGGAAAATATGATGTGTGTCTGAAAGAACATATCACTGAGTGCACAGAAAAAAGTAAGAAGATGCACCAGTCACACTCACAGGCTAAAGGTCGGGGTTCTGCTGTAACATTCCTATCCAAAACAACTGTAAACAACGTCATTTCCACAGTGCAGAGGCTAATTCAGGAGACCATTGCAAAAGAGGTTGCTGAAAGCGGTATGTTTTCTGTACAAATAGATACAACCCAGGACATTACGTCCCATGAGCAGTGTTCTGTGATTCTGAGATACGTCACAGACACTGTCCAGGAAAGGCTTCTTGCAGTGGTCAAATGTGAAGCATCCACTGGACAATATTTTGTCCAGATGCTGACAGATGTAATGGATCGTTTTGATTTGGATATCAGCAACTGCATCAGTAATGCTACAGATGGTGCATCCAACATGCAGGGTCAATATCGAGGCTTCTCCGCACTCCTGTCATCCAAAGTCCCAAACCATGTACATGTTTGGTGCTATGCACATGTGCTAAACCTCGTTCTGTCTGATACAACTGAAGTGTCCATAGCTAGTGGGTCCCTTTTCTCCCTCATGAATGACATTGCTGTGTTCATTCGCGAGTCATACAAAAGAATGAATGTGTGGGAGCATAAAAGCCAGGACACTCGACACAGACGCCTCTCCCCAATTGGAGAGACACGGTGGTGGGCTAAAGATGTAGCCTTGAAGAAGATCTTTGGCTCATTTGGAAAGCCAGACCAGTCTCTGTACATTGATGTCTTCATGACACTAAGTGAATTTCAAAGTCAGGCCAATTTGAAAACTGCAGTGCGTGTCAGAGCAAGAGGAT